TGGATTTGTAATTCATGCAGGCATATTTTTATGCAGTCATACAAGTATTCATTTTAGAGTTGTATACTTATATAGTAGTAGTAATAGTCATAGTAGTAGTAGTATATTCAAGCACTATTTTCATCTATCCCTACGTCTACCTTTTCAAAAAGCAAATCTGCATGTAATCTGTTGTTTTACTTCTGAGTTCTTGAGTACCTTGATTATCCATCGCTAGTAGCCTTTCCTTCAGTTCCTCAATCCTAATGCTGTCTTGTCATAGGACAGAACTCTCATAAGAGTAAATTCTATCCTGAACTCATTTTGGTTGGGAAACCTGAAACTTTACCTAGGTTTCCTCTGTTGTTCTGATCATGAGCTAGGATTCTATTTCATCCTGGATGGCCCTCCTCTGGAACCCAGACATCGCTACCTCTCTGACCATTGCCAGGAGTGGCTCTATTTATCATATTTTGTAACCCACACGAGGAATTTATATTTTCCATCCTTACAATTCTAATATCTGTGGCCTGGAAATCTTGGTTCATATAGAGAGAACAATTTTACCATGAGATGTTGGAAGAGTCCCATTTAAGCTCTAGATGCTGCCCAATCACTTCAGGCTCTTCATGCTAAGAGACCAGTTAGGAAGTAAAGGGGTCATCTCTCCTAAAGAGGATAATTGATCATGTTTATCAGGAAAAGATAGGGCTTCTGAATCTAGAAGCATTCAGTAAAAAAGCATTTGATACCCAGGTAATCCACTGGAATATCTCGATATTTATCTGTCCAATTGTGATAGTAAATGGACAAGTATACCAGCCATGGTGTGAAAAGGGCATGGTTACTAGCTCACAACTCTCAGGAATGGGGGTCTACTTAACCTACTAAGTTAGACACCTAGATAACTAGATGTGCTAAGAGTGAGGGAATCTAGAAAGGGAATTGAAGAGGGAGACAAGGATTATTAGTAGTGGCTTTGTAACCAGCTGCCGTAGCAAGGGCTGTAGTTGTCTTCCTAACCTTCACAAGTATTCTGACTTGCTGTAGGGGTGAACTAGACTTCAAATTAGAATATACCAAAGGAGAAATTATAGAGCTGAGAAAGAGGAGACTGTTATTACAATAAAAGTGGGAAATGCGTTTTTTACATTTATTTAAACTAAAAAAGAGAGAAAGTTCAAACATTTTTCACACACTCCCACCCCCTGCCTCTGGCACCACCAATCTGTTTTCTGTATTAATGAGCTTGATTATTTTTCTTTTGTTTCTTGGGGGGTGGGGGATTGTTTTTGTTTAGATTCCACATATAAAAGAGATCATATGGTATTTGTCTTTCTCTGTCTGACTTATTTCACTTAGCATAATGCCCTCAAGGTCCATTCACATTGTCATGAATGGGAAGATTTCAGTCTTTTGCAGCAGATATATATATATCAAGTTCTTTATCCATTCGTCCATCAGTGGACACACAGGTTGTTTCCATATCTTGGCTATTGTAAATAATTTATATGTCTTTCTGAGTTAGTATTTTCATTTTCTTCAGATAAATACACAGAAGTGGAATTGCTGGATCATACAGTAGTTCTATTTTTAATTTTTTGAGGAAACTCCAACTGTTTTCCACAGTGGCTACATCAATTTACATCCCACGAACAGTACACAGGGGTTGCCTTTTCTCCACATCCTCACCAACACTTGTTATTTCTTGTCTTTTTGCTAATAGATATTTTAACAGGTGTGAGCTATCTTACTGTGGTTTTGATTTGCATATCCATGGTGATTAGTGATGTTAAGCATCTTTTCATGTACCTGTTGGCCATCTGTATGTTCTTTGTAAAAATGTCTATTCAGACCTTCTGCCCATTTTCTAATTGGATTGCTTGTTTTTTTGCTACTGAGTTGTATGAGTTCTTTATATGTTTTGATATTAGTCCCTTATCAGATATATGGTTTGGAAATATTTTCTCCCATTCATAGGTTGCCTTTCATTTTGTTGATGGTTTCCTTTTCTGTGAAGAAGCTTTTTAGTATGATGTAGTCCCACTTACTTATTTTTGCTTTTGTTGTCAGAGTCAAAAAGTCATTGCCAAGTCCTATGTCGAGGAGCTTACTGCCTATGTTTTCTTCTAGGAGTTTTATGGTTTAAGGTCTTACATTCATGTATTTAATTCATCTTGAGTTAACTTTTGTATATGGTGTAAGATAGCTGTCAAGTTTCATCATTATGCATGTGGCTGTGCAGTTTTCCCAATACCATTTATTGAAGAGGCTCTCCTTTCCCCATTGTATATTCTTGGCTCCTTGGTCATAAATTAATTGACCACATAGTGTGGGTTTATTTCTGGGCTTCCAGTTCTGTTCCATTGATCTATGTATCTGTCTTTATGCCAATACCATACTGTTTTAATAACTGTAGTTTTGTAATGTAGTTTGAAATCAGAAAGTATGATGCCTCCAGCTTTGTTTTTCTTTCTCAAGATTGATTTGGCTATTTGGGGATTTTTGTGGTTCCATAGAAATTTTAGTACTATTTGTTCTATTTCTTTGAAAAATGCCATTGGAATTTTGATAGGGATTGCATTGATTCTGAAACTCTATTTGTTGGTTTAAATGCCACTAGGGAGAGTTTCTTAAAATCTAGGACCCATATCTTATCCAACTGTGAACTGTGTTATAGGATATGCTGAACTAAGTTTTGTTGAACTAAATTTAATTACTGAATCCATTAGAGGGCAGATCCAACAATACTCCTTTAAAAGGCAGCCTGCCTTGTTGCATTTGGCTGTGCACTAAATTTCAGAGTGACCAGGCTGTTCTGATGAAGATATTCTTGACTGAGCCCATTTGCCACCACACCCACCAATATCAGTCTAGTGACTCAGGCCCTCCAGGTAACTGGCAAAGAAGCAATGCCATTTATTTCAAAGACCCTGGCTTCCTACCATCCATCTTTTCTCTTCCTTCTCCCGTTCAACTGGCACACCTGTAATCCCCAATACACTGTGCATGGGAACTGGCCTCTAAGACTAGATGAAAACAGCTCATCCATGCTTTTCACCCAGCAGTAGACTTCTATTCTTCTGGCCAGACCATAATAGAATCATCATCAACAAATAAAAAGACAGTTTTTTGCTAGATAAGAGTGGAGGTTCAAATAAGAGTGAAAGGTAGAGGGAAGAGATATGGGGACATATGTATATGTATAACTGATTCACTTTGTTATAAAGCAGAAACTAACACACCATTGTAAAGCAATTATACTCCAATAAAGATGTTTAAAAAAAAAGAGTGAAAGGTAGAGGAATTAAGAACCTGAAGACTAAGAAATGTGGTGTGGTAAGAGAGAGAAAAATTGTTATTAATGCTGCCCCCTTCCCTTCCCCATCCAGGTTAATTTCAACTCTGTTGAGGCTCAATCAGCAAATCTTTAGCCATAATCACCACTTCCATGCCACCCCCTACCCTGTCTGTAAAGAGCTCTTCTTTATTCTACAGTGGATTGGGAGGAGGGGAATCCAAGCTAAGATATGCTAGAAGAAACACGTGGAGTCTCTCATTTGTGAGTAACCAAGCAATTGCCCTCACTTTAAGATTGTGTTTCTCAGTACTCTAAACCAAAAATGACGTTATAGATAAGAGCTGTTAAATGTTAGGAGCATGAGAACTGCTCACCAAAGTTTTCAGGCAACAGATACATAACTTGTGGTTCTCTTCCTATTTCAGTAGAGCATCACCTGTAATTTTTTTTAACCTTAAAAGCAACGCATGGGCTTCCCTGGTGGCGCAGTGGTTGAGAGTCCGCCTGCCGATGCAGGGGACACGGGTTCGTGCCCCGGTCCGGGAGGATCTCACATGCCGCGGAGCGGCTGGGCCCGTGAGCCATGGCTGCTGAGCCTGCGTGTCCGGAGACTGTGCTCCTCAAGGGAGAGGCCGCAACAGTGAGAGGCCCACACCCGCAAAAAAAAAAAAAAAAAAAAAAAGCAACGCATATGTTAATACAAACTCACTTAAAAAGATTAGGAAGAAAAGCAAAGCACTTGGCCTTTAAATCTTCAGAAGTGGGTTTAATGACAGTTTAATGACAGCCTGTTTAATGACAGGTCCAGAACCACATCCCTGTTTTATTATGTTTCATTGTTACTGCATAATTTCCTTTATTACCTATGATAAATGGAAATCAAATACTTGCTGAGGTGGGTTTAAATAGGTAAGAGTGTAAAGAAAAATAGGTTGTTCAAATATCATGAAACTGGGATCTCAGATTCTTAAAATATATATTTATATTTTTAAGTGAGGTACCAAGCTATAACTCTCAATCTCAAACTAGCTGTGTGTGAGAGTTGTTTTTTCGTTTTTCTTGTTTTGTTTTGTTTTAGGATTGTATCCATAATTCAAAGATGAAAAGAATAAAAAGTACATTCAAAGCAGCATTCTCAGGATTTTTCACTTAGACTGATTTTTGGCTCATTCAAGTAGGAAGATACCCCCCCACACACAAATTGCTAAGGTTGATGCAAGACGTGAAGCTAGTGAAGTTCAAGTACCGCCTGGGGATGAATTTCACCAGCATGACAGGTGCAGAGCTGTCACTTTAAGACATCTTAAGAGAGACGAGGTTATTTTAAATGCCTTTCTCTCAGCCTTTTGATTACACAGGGAGCGACTAACTTCTCCTAGTGAAACCAGCTGGCCCGGGACGGAAGGAATAGAAATCCTCTGCTCCGCCTGCTGGAGGGAGGTGATTAAGAGCTGAGTGCACTGATTCGACCTTTCCAAAAAACTTAGCCTAGGATTGCTGGACACCCCGCAGCGAGTTGCGCAGCGGGCTCCGCTCTGCGGTGTCTGGCGCGTGCGGCCGGGCACCTTCTGGGCTGCTCTTCCTGGCCCCTACCCTCGCGGCTGTAACGTCAGCTGCCTGCCAGGCCTCTCAGCCAGCACAGTGGGACATGCCCGAACGGACAGGGGGCGGAGCCTAAGGAGGTGGGAAGCACCCAGCCCGACTGCCCAGCTGGAAACGAACTCAGTCACTGCCGGCTCTCCACTCCGGCAGAGTGTAGCTCGGCGGTGAGGACGCTGCAACGCGCCCGCACTCTGCGGCCAGAGTGGATTCGCGCGACGTTGCGGCTGCGCGAGGAGCCTTTTCCTGGGAGCCATCCGGGAAAAGCCCGGCTTAACTACAGGCCTTTCGGCCATTGGACGGACCCCCCAAGCCGCAGAAGGACGGCGAAAGGGGACTGAAGCTGAACTGAGCTCTTTCCGAATGGGGCGAGCCCGCTAGGGCGAGGTGGGAAGGAGGGGTGGGGCGCGTTGTGAAGCTCACGGCCAGCGGTGGATTATCCGGGACACTTTGCGCCTGGGGGCTGCGAAGTGAGCGAGGAGGACAAGGGCATGCTCAGTGGTGGCGGCGGTGATGCGGCCCTTTCCAACGCCGCGGCGCGGGGGCAAGTGGAGGCCGTGCGGCAGCTCCTGGAAGCCGGTGCTGATCCCAACAGACTCAACCGCTTCGGGAGGCGCCCTATCCAGGTAGCTGGGGGCCCCGGGCCTCGCCGTCAGGGGGCGCACAAACACGGCACCGCGGCCTCCGTGGGAAGCGGCTGGGCACTGAGATCTCCACCGACTTAGACCTCTGTCTCTCTTGCTCTAGTATTCAGCTCAGGTGTAAAGCAGGTTTTCACCCACAAAAAATTTTAAAGAAAGGTATTGGAAACCCCACTACTTGTTTGGTTTTCTTTTTAATGGGGGGAAAAAGACCAATATCCCCTCTCCCATTTCATAAGAGATGCAAGGGATAGGTTCAACTGGAGAGGAAAGGGGAAGAGGAGATGTTATTTGGGGAGGAGAACTGTTTTGTCTTATCTGTTTGTCTTTCAACAAACAGCGATCAACTTTCAACGATAGAGATAATTAAATTACAAGGTACACAATTTGGACTGAATTTAAGGAATCATACAAAATCACAGCACATGAAAAAAAAATCACCCTGAATCTTTAAGCTGTGATGTGAAATTTTGTATTCTTTCCTCATACAGACGAATTGAATACAAAGAAAAAAGACAGGATTCCTCAACCACAATACTTAATTCCTTTTATGTAAGCAGTGTCTCTTGAGTGTTACGTAAGAAAAAAATGTGCTTCTATATATTTTTATTTAGTTATACTGAATGCTTGGATTACATAAGCATTGCTGCAGCTTTGTTAAATGGCAAAGGGCCTTCATAAATAGTCTCTTCATTGTTAAAATTCATTTATTCAATATGTTTAACTATTAATCCCACTTTAATTAGTGCTAAATATATTTTTTAATTTCTTTAAAATATAAGGTAATGTTTTGTGTTTTATTGTTGACTATTATGGTCATATTTAGTATTCACCTCACAATCACCTTCCAGAACCAAGCCGTTATTAAGGAATCTTGTTAATTGTGTAGATTTTAAAGAAAATATGTATTCATTCATTTTGAATTCATAGAAAATATTGGAAGAAATGACGGATTGTTTAAAGCAGCAACAATATGTAAAGTAGCTCTTAAAGACTTCAAATTATATTAATTGTAGAAAGAGGTTTGTCGTTTTTAATTCAGCATATTCTGAGATATTAAGAACCACTTTTCCGCCTCTTCTCTATGTATGAAATGCCCTTTACTTCACTAATAGAAATCATATCATGGTTTCTAAGGGAGGAAATAGATGTTTTTAATATCCATGAAACAAACAAAAAAATTTTGCATACTATCTTTTGATTCCGTGGTACATTTTAAAACATAAACTCACAAGAACATATAACAACATTTTGTATATTTAATTATCAAAAATTATTTTATTATATATGGAATCTTAAAAAAAATGGTTCTGAAGAACGTAGGGGCAGGACAGGAATAAAGACGCAGATGCAGAGAGTGGACTTGAGGACACGGGGAGGGGGAAGGGGAAGCTGGGACGAAGTGAAAGAGTGGCATGGACATATATACACTACCAAATGTAAAATAGATAGCTAGTGGGAAGCAGCCACATAGCACAGGGAGATCAGCTCGTTGCTTTGGTGCTTTGTGACCACCTAGAGGGGTGGGATAGGGAGGGTGGGAGGGAGACGAAAGAAGGAGGAGATATGGGGATATGTGTATATATATAGCTGACTCATTTTGTTATAAAGCAGAAACTAACACACCATTGTAAAGCAATTATACTCCAATAAAGATGTTTAAATAAATAAAATAATGGAAATCGGAAACTTGAATGGATAAACATTAAAAAATTTGTTTTATTGTTAAAATGAGAAAGTAAATACTTGCATAATGTACATGTACACAAATGGATACTATAGGATTACTGCTCCAAAACATCCTTTTTCTAAATTATGCATTGCTCTGATGTGACTGCTAAGATCCAAGCTCTTTTTTAGATAGCGAAATGTTTACTATTCAACATTATAAAATCCTGTACAATGTAAATATAGTGTTTATTTTACATTACCTCAAATATATTATCCTCTAAACGTTAGCCTTTATCTATAATGTTAAATATTAAAAGTGGTGAACCATTCATTAAAAACAATTTGTTTTCATCATCTTATAAAACTATGCATGACTTTACTTTTTCCCTTTTATCTCCAATTTTGGCTCCAATTGTGGGACTGTATTCCCTTTATGAGCAGAGACATATATAACAGTGAAAAGCAAACGTCTTCCACAGGGGATTTACTGCAAGAACTAAACAAAGTAAACCTTGTTTTAGACTTAGTTGTTTCTTATTTTCTCTCCTAAAGCACTGCTCTAACTTCTAAAATAAACATATCAGCTGACTGCCTAGTAAATTTTGTAGACTGGGATTATGGCTGGGGTAGAGGAAAGAAAAAGGAAAATAATTAAGACTTTAAAAGTCTTAACTCCGCCCATAAATCATTTAACAAAATAGACTCCCCTGTTTCAATGGAAATTTTAAACAAATCTCCCACAACGGCGATAAGCAGTTTATCATCAGCTCTTTCTTGTCTTCCCACGTTTGGAGAATAAAATGGAACTAATTAGGGCTGAGTAGAGTATAATTGGGGCTGGGGCCGGGGGTGGGGGGGGGATGGTATTGCGTCAGCAAATGAAGCTTAACTAGACTCCTGAGGCTTTTAAGAGTCTCTGGATCATGAATAGGTATTTCTTTGAGAAGACTCTACCTGCCCCCACCCCGGTCCTGACCGCTCTGCTCTCTCCGACAGGTCATGATGATGGGCAGCGCCCGCGTGGCCGAGCTGCTGCTGCTCCACGGTGCGGACCCCAACTGCGCGGACCCCGCCACCCTCACCCGACCCGTGCACGACGCCGCCCGGGAGGGCTTCCTGGACACGTTGGTGGCGCTGCACCGAGCCGGGGCGCGGCTGGACGTGCGCGACGCTTGGGGCCGCCTGCCCGTGGACCTGGCTGAGGAGCGGGGCCACCGCGACGTCGCCCGCTACCTGCGCGCGGCCGAGGGAGACTGATGGCGCTTGCACACAGCCGCCCCAAACGATTTTTCTTTTCTCTCCAGTTCCTCACCCCAACTTAGTTCAATGAGGTCTGCAAACGTGGAGCGGCGGAAGTCTTCCTGGGCGACCTGATTCCCCGCAGGGAAGGAGGGGCAGACCGGGAAGAAATTTTTTTTCTCTTTTTTTCTCTGGATGCAGCCCTCGACACTCACCGTGAAGTGAAACGCAGAGAGGTGGGGCAAATGGATTTCCAGCGAGATTTAGGAGCCGAATGTGGAATTCCCAGGTTTATTTTTCAGGGTTTTCTGGCGAAAAGTGGCACATGAAGAAACCCGCGAAGGAACCCAAGCGCTGCGAATCTTCACACAAAAGATGCTGGGACGGAGTGGGAGGCGGCGGTGACTGGCATTCGGGTGGGGGGCAGGTGATAACGTTCGCCCCATTGACCTTGAAGGACCCCCCCCCCTTTAAGCCCCTACTTCAGGCGTTAGGCCCTGGGGATATGAGGGCAAAGCTGAAGACGGAGGACCAAGCAATGATGACGGTCGTCGTGGGCTCTTTCTTTACAAGCTGCACGGAGCAGAGCAGGTCACGTGCAAAACGCTCCATACTGGAAGCCTTGGGGACTCGCGCCCAGCTACACCGGATAGTGACGGAGAAGAGAGGACCCGGAAGCCACCTCGAACTTGCCTGCTTATTCTAAAGTCCCCAGGGCAAGGTGGTTCTGAACAGCTCTCCGAAAGGGGCGCTCGTTTGCTGTTGTTAAATCAAGGCGAGATTCTTGCGGCGTTCCAGCAGTCCGCGCACAGACTGAAGTCGGGGATTGTAGCGAGAGCAACTGTAGGTAGGCCGTTAACTGTAACGATTTGTTTAATCTATGAACGGTAGGATACAGAGAGCCCCCTGTAAATTGCCACTTGAAAAGATTTCGTGATATTTTGTACTTTTGGGTGGTTCTTCAATAGCAGTCTTACTTACGGAGACTTTAAATAACAAAGTAACTCGTGGCCCTTGGGAAAGAGGTGAGGAAGAACTACAGCTTTTACACGAAGCTATGGCACAGTAGCAACGGCCAGATTACTTTGATCCTTAACCTACTTATTTCTCTGTTAAATTTTCTGTTTCCTTTACTACAGCCTCAGGGGGTCAAACAATGAAATATTACAAATGTATTTTAGAAGATCCATGCACTTACCCAGTAAATTATCTCGGGATATTTCCCAAAGCGTTGCTAAAAGAGTAGATTGAATATAAAACTGTTGAAAATATATGATGATGGCTCGCGGAATGTCTTAATATCTGCTGAACAAACTAAAGGTGTACTGTTTGGGGATTTAATTTCCAGTGTTGCTTGATACATTACAGCATTGGAATAACTGATATTTCACTGTTTTAATGTAAAAAAAATTGAGATTGGACTCCAAGATTTTGGCTTAAAACATGATTCCATTCCTAATTTAAAGAAATTGTGGAATCTGATGACAACCTGATATTAAGGGAAACTAAATCAAGAAAATGTGGTTGGGTACTATAGGGTTCTGTGAGATCCACAGCCATATATATATTATATATATTATATATATATTTGGCAAATATATATATATTCGGCAAATATATATATATATTTGGCAAAACCAAAACATCATACATTATTGGAAAATCAAGTACCACGTGGTTGCACTGAAATAGTAATTTATGAATACATGTAAAAGTAAATTCAGATTTCAAATCCACCTGGTAGGCAGATTTGGTGAATGTATTTTATCAGCAGCACAAGAAGTATATACTGTTAAATCTGTTTAAGATTTCACTTTGAAGGATACATGCAGGCAAATATAGCTCTATATACATGAGCCCTGCTTCTGGCTCTATTTTACAATTACAGAAAAATATACATGTTAATTTCTGTATCTAAATCTAAAATATTACCAAGGTTTGTACACATCTTACTACCTGACCTTCATTGCAAGATCTGGAAGTGAAATAAATTCAGAATTCAATAATGTATTCATTTGGCCTCATTTTTATATTTCCTTTTTCAGCCGAGTGAATGGATGAGAAAACAAGGATGATTTACTATGAAAGCAAAATCTGTTTAAAATTTCCTGTGTTCTAATGGCTAAAATTAGTAATTTCAGATATAAGGAATGAAAAATAGATTCAAACAGAGAGCTCAAGATCCATACAGTTCCAAATGGCTTTGGGAAAGTGTGTTCATAGGAATGCTTTATTATATTTTATTTCTATATTATCACAAAAGCAATATGAATATGGTGTCCAGGACCAAATTAGTTCATTTTATGAAGCTAGGTAACTGACCTTCAGCAAATAAATAAAATTAATTTAACTTAGACCAACCACATTGAGATTCTATATTGTCCTTCCTTTTATGGGAAATGTTAAAAACAAACTATTTGTGTGTTAATATGTAGTAGTGAATAGGGATTTTTTTTTACCACCTCTGCAAGTATCAATTATTTTTTTAAAAAACAAAAGAAATGCTTATTTTCCTTTTATGCTTTATCAGAGGCTGATTATTTTTATGATAGGGTGTAATTTTTCCAACGTTCAAGACGTTGCCACTCTACCAAAAGAAAAGAAAAGAAAAAAGAGCAAGTAGAAGTAGTCATCTTCAAAAATGATAGAAATAATCTTGGAAGCACTCTTGTGGACTGCCTTCTGAAACAAATGCAAAAGCTGGTGTCATCTACAGTCATCTTCTTAGCAGACTAAGAAGTCTGCTTTGGTATTTATGTCAGCAGCTAATCATAACCAAAATCTGACATGACCACTAAGTTTTCACTATCAACAAACTATTTCATTATCTTGTGAAAACTTGAAAAATAAATTTTAGGTTGGCATAATTTCACAGTGTTCAATTACCAAGCTTAAAAAGATGGAAACGGGGAGAAATAAGTAAGAAAATAAGAACATTTTAATTTTAAAAATTACTTGAAGGAGCAACAAGAGTTGAATCACAATACTTTCAATATCTTCTCCTGTTCTATTTATAATCCCAGGGAAGAAAGAAGGAATGAAGCAGAGATAAATTAGGACTTGATTGGAAGGTAGAAAACCTGGGTTCTGGTATTAGTTCTTCAACTAATTCAATATATGACCTACCAAATCATGTGACATGATTAGCTCCAATTTCCTCATCTATAAAAGATGGGAGTTGGACTAGATTACTTTTAAGCTCCCTACCATCACTAAAGTTTTATCGCTTTATAAGTTTGTTGCATACATGACTGTAATGGGGTCTTATATTTTATTAGTAATGATTTTGCCACTTTGCTTGTCTGAGCCAAGAAAAGTTATATAAAGGAATAGAGAGAAGAGATGCATTTTTAAATTCAGGAGCCTTGAGGGGTGGGGGATCTCCATAAGCACCACCTCCACCAGTTAGCTGAGAAGTTACCAACAAGTTTGTGGAAACTAGCACAGAAAAGATGCTTTGCAAAATAAATATGTAGTTTAATTTTAAGCTCTTTCTTACTTTGTCTTACCTCTGATTTTTTTTTCTGTTGCATTTTGCATTTCTCTCATGTGACTCATAGCCACCAAAAGAATTCACTTCTTTAAGTGAGATAAGCAGGTAGACCCAATAAATTTATTAAAATAATGCTGAAGTAGGTGTTTACAAACTAATGTAAATGCTCTGAAAGAAACAGTGTTTATTAAGTAAACATATAACAAGTGATACTGACCTAAATGGGGTTGGTATAGGAGTTGTAACCAAGAAAAAATGTTGGGGGCATTGGAAGGAATAGAAGGTGCAAAGGCACGAGAATGCTAAAATATGTAGAAAAGTCATTAGAAGATGAATAACTCTCTGTAAATAGCTGCTGTGGAGTTTACAGACCCATTTCTAAAGGTCCGTTCTTTCTGGTTTGTTTCCATTGGATTCCATGAAGTTTTAGGTCCCTAAATGTTACCTGGATGATAGTAGGAACCAGCTGGTCAGGGAAGAGCTCTGTATCACCTCAATATCAATACATGTTGATTTATATTACTGTGATTAATATGTAATCCATGCCAGTTACATATTATTTCATTAGTAGCACTGGCTTCAAAGCAGAATTTCCTGTATTACATAATTAACAAAGGGGTGATATATACAAGTTACCATTTCTATAAAGTATTTGTTTCCTTTATGCAAGGAATGCTATTAAAGTCTGAGTAAGGAATTCAAGAGGCCAAAAAGGACTCCTACCATTTGTAAAAACTGATCCTGAGAAAAGTTTTATAGAAAATCAAGACAGTAGGGAATGAGCAGTTTCCCATTATTTCAGGCCTGGGAATATTTCACAAGCCCCACCAGTGTGTAGACCATAAGCAGTTTGTTTTGGTTTTATTTGATTAATTCTGTTAAACTACTGATCCATCTTCCATAAAACACCACCATGCCTCTCCTCCTTCTATTCCTTGTGTTACTTTCTTTTCATCTCATTCTCTGCCCTCCTGAAATGGCTGACTTGTATTATAATTTGAAGTTTGAAATCAATATAAACCAAAGATTTTTCTGGGGAAAAAAAACTATGAAGATGATACACAGACTGTCTCACAGACATCTACGTTTTATTGGAAATTTACAAAGGAACCCCAAACACCTGTTAATGCCCTTCTCATTCAGAAGCCCCTGACATTAGACCTCCAGTAGATCTATAGAGTCAGTGCTGGCACATAAAATGTTTTACAACAGAGTTAAAGTGAAAACTTTAAGACCAATTACAGTAATTAAACCATGGCTCATTTCCCTTTCAAATTTGGCCTTCTCCCAAAATGCATAATCTATTTGTCTATCTTCTCTTTGGAATACTCTATATTATGAAAGGATTGGTGCTACTTCCTTTGAACCCTTTCTTGTGTGACCTCAGGGTCTCCATTGCATTTTAACCAAACGCCACTCTACCTTCTTCTCACTTTACAAATTTCTTCATCTCCTTGCCTTAGCTGAAAACTGGGTCTCCCTGAGAATTCCACTTTCTTCTGACCAGATAATAGTTACTGAGCTGTGGATAAGAGTGGGAGTCAGAACCAGTCATGAGTGTCTGCTGTTTGGGTGGCTTTCAGTATAGTCCTAAACCAGATAGGTAAAGGTTATTCATTGTTCTTCAGTTTTCACTCATCTCATAGTATAAATAATTGCATTTTGTTTTCCTTATCAAATTAAGTTGTAAATAATTTCAGTGTGTGTCATTATTTTATAATATGTTTATAAGAGATAATATATAAACATAAAACAGTAAACATTTTTTCTGTTCACAAAGCCACAGATAGGTCAACAGATTATGACAACACACAGAGTTTTCTTCTGAAGGGTGAATGTTGGAAATATTTATATCCAATGGCTTCTCATTCTGTGGGTTATGAATACTAAGCTCTATCACCTTTCCTAGGGCACAGCAGTACCCTGTACAGTCTCCTATATCTGCTCCCAATATGCCACCTTAGAGTTATAAGCTATAAACTTGCCTAAAATATTTTGTCATCCTCTACTACTCTCTAATGTCTAGACTGCCTTGGACAGTTAGAGATATCATATATGGATCCATTCCAGAGCTGCAGGAGCCCTTTGGTCTGTTTAAATCCCACCTTGAACAGAAGAATTTAATGTCATCCCCTTTCTAGGGAAAAATTACATGACATTTCATTTTACATTCACCCTCAGGTATTTATTATGTCTGTACAATGATGGTGCTGTCCCCATCAGTCATTTGAGACCAACATATAGGGAAGTTGTTCTCAACCCTGGCTCTCAATCATTCATGTTCTAAATTTTGAATTCACTGACCAACTTCAGGACTACAAAATTAGAATCTCTAGTTTTGGAGCCAAAAATTTCCATAGTTGTTACTCTAAAATTCTTGTTCATGGTTAAACTTTCAAACAGTACAGAAAGTAAACAGAATTAATATCTCCTGAAACCTCCCTATCCACCATTCTCACTATCTAGGAGTAACCACTATTTTTGAAAACTTTTAATCAACTTCCCAGAAATATAGGTACACATAATTGTAAACAGCCCTGCCCCAACACACACATTTAGGAAACCATTCTGCAACTTGTTTTTTTTTTTTTTTGATAGTAGATCTTTGACAACTTGCATTAGGAAATAAAGATGCACTTCATTTTTTGTATAGCTGCATAGTTTTGTATTTTATGCATAAACCCAAATTTTTTAAAACCAGTCTCTTATTAACAAACATAAAAATTATTTCCTTTTTTTTGCTACTACATATGCTGCTATAAAGAAACTTTTTTTCATCCTTGTATGAGCAATCTGTATCAATTTATAGAAGTGATATTGCTGAGGCTAAAGGTACATCTGTCTCTTTTTTTCTCACACAAACACACACATACCATATATGTCTGCACATATGTGTGTGTAAAATCTTTACATACTTATGTGTGTATATATATGTGTGTATGTGTATATCTTCATTAATATATATACACGTATATGTGCATATATACTTTTCATACTTAGACGAGTTATAGGAGTGGAACTGCTGAGTCAAAGGGTAATACATATATACATGCATATGTAATACGTATTTTTTCCATACGTATATACACACTACATAAAAGTATACATATTTCCATACATCTATTTATGTATGTGTATATTTGCATACATAAACTCAGTGGAATTGCTGAGTCAAAGGGTATGTATATGCACATACAGTTTTAATAAATACTGTAAAGTTGCCTTCCAAAATGAATGTACCAAGTTACAATAGTATGTAAGAAGATTGTTTCCTGACAACTTTGCCAATGTTATCACTCTTTTTATTTTTGCCACACCTGTAGGTATATGTCAGTGTTTTTGTTACATTTCTTTACTAACCAGTAAAATTGAATATATTTTCATAATTTTTTAACCATTTGACTATTTGAATATCCTCTACTCTAAACTGCCCATTATATTATTTGCTAACTTTTCTACTGGGTTATTTTTTTACTCATTTATGTATTTATATATTCTAGAAGTTAATATTTTATATGTGTTCAAATAATAGTTTTAAAATCTTCTAGTGTATTGTGTCTTATACCTTTGGGGTTTGTAGTTTGAGCATGTGCAATATTAGGGAAGTTTCTCACAGAATTTTGATAATCAAGAGATACCTGAGGGAAAAAGCTGGTGTCCTAGGACATCACAGCTAGAGGGTAGTTGGGTGGCATGGCACAGACAAGGTATTAGTAAAATGCCCTCTCCTATCTCTGCCTGTGGGATGAATTTGCTGATCCAAAATAGAAAATCATTTTAAAAAATAGAAAATCATTTTCCTCCATTCAAAAACTCAGCTGCCAAGTCAGCTTTTAGGCCAAAGGAAGAGAGCAAATAAAAGCTCTGACATTCAATGATCCTCTTTCTGCAAAAATGACGCATCAATATTTCACTTCCTATTGACTCTGTTTAGCACAATAGAAAGGGCACAAGGCTTTCAGTCCAAAGACCTTCTTAATGATTCCAGCCCTGGCACTTGCTGGCTATAAAGTATCTAAGATTTGAGTGCCTCTAGGCCTCAGTCTTCTCACCTGTAAAGTAGGGTAGTAATCCCAAATTCAAAGAGCCGCTGTGAGGATAAGTAATACAAGTGAAAGTGTGCACAAATAACACTGATCAGCTCTTGATCATACTCTTCTTGAAGAACACAAAGCCAAAGTCATCTGGAATTCCAAACGTGTTTGGAATGCCACAAATTAGTTGTGTTGCTAAAGATTCATCTTCATAATTGTATTTTGCTTAGTCTAATATTAAAATTAGATAGAATTCCCCTGCATACCACAACTAACAAAACACAGGTGTTGGGTAGCAGGGGAAAACCAAGATGGAATTTAAGTTTAAGTTTTAAATTTTATATTCATTGAACACAGAGCTTACTGTATAGTCATCTTACTCAGTGCTCTTACTCAAATGGCATTCCTCTGAAGTGGGTAACTACCCTTATCCCCAGAACAAGTTTGGGCGGAGAGGAAATGGTTATAGGTTAAGCTATACAGGCCCAATCAATACAGAAAGATCACAGAATGTAAACTTGGTTGGGAAACTGAGGCTCAGCAGACCTTTCAGGCATAATAGGATAATGTGAGGTTTAATCTTATGTGTCAACTTGGCTAGGCTGTGGTACCCAATTGTTTGGTCAAACACCAGTCAAGTTATTGCTGTAAAGGTATTTTTTAGATATAATTAACATTTAAATCCATAGACTTTAAATAAAGCAGATTATCCTCCATAATCTGTGTGGGCCTCATCCAATTAGTTGAAGGCCTTAAGTGAAAAGAGGTTGCCCAAGGAAGAAAGAATTGTCTCCAGGCTGCCTTCTGACTCAAAACTGCAACATCAACCCCTCCATGGGTCTCCAGCCTGCCTACTTGTCTTGCAGACTTCGGACTTGCCAGCCCCACAACTGGGTAAGCCAATTCCTTAAAATAAATCATACAAGCGCGTGCGCGCGCGCGCGCACACACACACACACACACAATTGGTTTTGTCTCTAGAGAACCCTGACTAATAATTTCAAGAAATGTGTAATACAGGTTTTCTCACCCTCCCGCACCATGGTTTACTGCCACAGCTAGTAACTCTGCCTGGGTCCAGGAAACCCTTCTCTCTTCCACTTCTCCAGAGCCCTTAAATGATACTGTGCTGAAACTGGGCAGCATTTCCCCTCCAGGATGCTTTCTCTGATCCCCCACCTCCTAAAGTACCCCTCTTCTGTTTGCCATAAAATGAAATCCCCTCACTATAATTGTATGTTTTTACTAGTCCATCTCTCTCCTATGAGGTTTATTTTGGGGGTGGTGGTGGAGGAGGGGAATCATAGGTGTGGTGCAAGACAGAGCAAGACCGGCCTTCCACGGAGTTTACATACTAACTACTGACAGACAAACAAGTAAACAATTACTAATGACAACTTCTGTGTGGTAAGTGCTTTAGGGGAAAAAAAAATACGGTGCCTGGAGGAAGAGTCTCTGAGGGGGGCGGGGGGGGGCGGATATACCTGAGAAGCGCCCTGAAGGAGTAGGAGCTAGCCTTGTGAAGAGCCAGAAAGCGCATTCATTCTGTCACAGTGGAGCGGCAAGCAGCCTCAGCATGGAGCCTGGATGTTCCGTAAATTCTGAGGGAGTCCTACAGGAGAGGGGAGAGGTGCATTTGTAAAAGTTATTTAGAGTGGCTATTTAAGCCTGGTCCCTAAGTCTCACTTCAGCCGGCGGGTCAGGAGGCTACATCCTGTGCGGAGGTGAGGGACGGGAAGTGGAAGCAGCCTGCGTGCCGCTGGACCAGGTCTCTCAGTTACAGTACGGTGGCTTGCACCATCCAAGCCTCACTTGCCTCCTCCAGATAGTGAGAGGCTTGGCGTCTGTCTCGCTACGGATCCAGTCCTGCAGCTCGGCCAGTTGGCTCGGCCACAAGTAAAAGAAGCCACTTCGAGGCGGGCCACCTTTCAGGCCCCGAAGGCTGGGCCTAGTCCCACATCCTCTCTTACACGCCGGGCCGGCCAGGCCGCGCCTCCAGCCCGCGAGGCTCTCGGCCCATCGAGACTGACTTCAGGCCTGGGAAGTTGGGGCATCGGGTCAGCACCGCCCGCCTGAAAGGGGCGTCCTGGGCTCGACCACTCGCCTTCGGGGGAGCCGGCGAACCAGCGCCAAAGCTCCATCCAGCCCGACAGCCGGAACCCGTCAGTCTGCGCTCTGGAACCCGGCTCCTGCGTGTCCTCAGGCCGCCTCGGTGTCCTCGACTCACCCCTCCTTTATGCGGCTCTTCCCTTTCCTTCCCCCGCTTTTCCTGTGCCGAGTGGACCCCAGCAGCGCGGGGGGGGCGGGGGGTATCCAGAAAGAAAGGGTCAGTGATGTGGAAGAAAAGAGGGGGAAGAGGGAGGAGGGGAGGAGAGAGGAAAGGGACCACGCTGAAGAGTCAGGCAGCAAGAGGGAAGGGTGTCGGAGCGCCGGGCGGAAGGAGGAGGAGGAGGCTGCGGGAGGAACGACCAGTGGACGCGGGGACAACGGGAGAGCGGGGAGCAGCCGTGGGGGAGGGGAGCACCGCGGCAGGAAGAAAGAGGAAGAAGCGTTCAGATGCTTCTCTGAGCGGGATGTTAAAACCGAAAATAAAAATTGCCTGGTGAATGGACTGCCGGCCTAGCCCAGAGCCCTCCGCAACGCCGGAGCAGGCAGGGGAAGGGGCGCGCCGATCCAGCAGGGGTTGGGGTTCGGCTCCGCCTACCTGGTCCGGCGCGGGGCCCGCCGCTCCAGCGGCGCCAGCGCCACGCAGTGTCCAGATGTCGCAGCAGTTTCCTTTAATTTCGCTCGTTTCCCAAATCGAGAAGTGGAGCATAGCGCCATTTCTTTAAAAACTGACATCCAGCCTCCTGAATGGCGGATAGACCCATGAGATAAATTTGCTTTTTTTTTTTCTTTCTTTTTCTCTTTTAAATAATCCGGTTTGGAGAAAGGAAGAATCCCCAGCGTGGGGAGCGAGGAATAAAGGAAGGGGGACAGGGAAGCAGGGACGCGAGCTGGACCGCGGCGGTTCCTGATATGGCAGGGTCAGGTGACGGATGTTGCGAGGGGGCGGGCTGCCTGGAGATGCGTTGTGGCGTCAGGACCTTGAGCTGTCACCGCGTGGGGCGCCCGCGCGGAGGGTGGGAAGGTGGCGGCGCGGGCGGGGGGGGGGGGGCGGACAGGGCGGGAAAGAGGAGGTGGGCGGGAGGGAGAGGAACCTAGGACGCTAGCTGCCCGCGCGCGCGCCTCCAGGCGCCTCAGCCCGCCTTTCCCGCGCGCGCTGGGCGCAGAACGGTTCTGGGCTCTGAGGAGGTGGGGGGCGAGCGGGCGCGCGCAGGGAAGGCGGGTGCGCGCGTGCGGGGCGGGGATGGGCTGGGGGCGGCGCGTGGGTCTCAGTTTGCTATCGGGGGGCGGGCGCCGAGCTGCCTACCTCTGAAGTCAAAAGGCGGCGCAGCGGCCGCCGAGCTCGGCGGCGGCAAGAACATGGTGCGCCGACTCTTGATCACAGTGCGGATTCGGCGCGCGTACGGCCCGCCGCGAGTCAGGGCTTTCGTCGTGCAGATCGCGCGGCCAGCGCGTGAGTGGGCAGCGCCGGTCGTGCGGGCCGCTGCGGACCTCGTGCTGATGCTAGTGAGGAGCCAGCGCAGAGCGCAGCAACCGCATCCTAGACCAGGTAGGAAAGGCCTCGAAAATCCCGGGCGCAGTCGGCCCTTGGGTGATTTTGTTTGATGTAAGCTAATACACAGATAAATCATCTCCAGACGAGGTTGGAGGAGGTTGTTTCGGCGTGGGTGGAGGTTCCTTCCACTTTCTCTCCATACGGGTTACAGTTACTTAGAGGTGCTGTTCTCCCAGTATGTGGAGCCCGGAGCCGCCTTCACACACCTCCTTAATCCCTTGAAACTCTGGGGGAAACCGGGAGATTCTAAACCCACTTTAGAAGTCAGTCACTCCTGAATTTCCTGAGTGGGAATCAGTAAACACACACACACACACACACACACACACAAGGTGTATTTCTAAGGCACTTTATTGCGCCCTGGAGGAAAGTATCACTAACGGTCTTAGTTTTCTGGAGGCCGCCTTTTTCCTCCCCAGTCTTCCTGCCTCGTCAACCCTCCCTCCTTCCAGTAGTGGAGGACGTTTGAGGGTGCGGGCTCGCACAGAGTTTGACTTCACGAAATAGTAACATTGATCTTGATCGAAGGATCAGTAACTGCTAAGAGGAGCAATCACTTGCTTTTGCAGTCAGTGGAGAGTCAAACTTTCGCAGTGAGATGGAGGTTTCTTCTTTAGCGGCCTGGTGTATCTAAGTACTTGGGACAATGCCCGTATGTTTAGCAGAAGGCAGAACTACAGTGGGGAGTCTTAAGGATCGCACCGATCATATTTTAGTCATCTCAGGCCCCAATTAACAGGCCCCAAATGAGGCCTACTTCTTGAAAGACAGAATTCTAGGTAGTTTTGTCCTCACATAAGATAAATCTTTACATAGTCGATGTAATTTCCTATGACGAGGATAATTGAAATATATATATATAGCTACAATATATAGAGTCCTAATTAGAACTTGGGTAATGAATCCAAAAACAATTTAATGGGGCTTAATTTTTGTGACCTTCCTTGTGGCATTATTTCCCCATGAATATGTGTTTTGAAAAAGCAAAGGTCAGCAGAGGGGGAATTATTTTTTATTGTAACGTTAATAGACTTTTTGACGTGTAAATGTAAAACTGTTAACACTATCAGTGTTTAATCAGGTGCCTCAATTTCTATTGGCAAAAATCTACAAACAATTTATAGGAAAAATACACATTTTCTTTTTCATATTATTATTAAAGTTCAGGGGGTTTTTTGGAATTAGTAGAAGGAGTTTGTAAAGAATTTCAAGGCATGTTGCTGGTCTTGATTTCAGTTCATTTTAAAACATTAACAGGATCCTATTTTTTAAAACGGTGCTTTATCCGTACCAGCAAGCATTTAGCCACTATGATGTGTTTTTGAATACCTTAGTTTGTTAATATTATTCTCTATATAAAGTTATTTTATTTAAATTATTAAGTTGCATCCAAAACTCTATAGTAACAAAGTAGAAAAATTTAATCTATGTAAATACTATAATTATGTGTTTTCTATTTTAGGAATACATAATATAATATTGTGATTATTTTAAGTTAGAGAAATATTCATTTTATAATATATTTATTGTATAAGTGTTAAAAATATAAAAATGATAGATTCATTGAAAATAGCCATTTATTTCTTGTTATTTAGGTATAAATCAATTTTCAGGAATGAAAGTTATTTTTAAATGCATTGACTATATGAAAAGCCCAATTTTCAGCAAATATCTGAAGACAGAACACATGACGTAGATAGAATAGAATATGTTTTGAAAATATGTGCAATTCTCCAACTTCATATATGAAATTTTACACATATACAAACATCTGGAAGTATTAATTATAAGTGACATGTAATTATATATTTCACATTAATATATATTATGTCTATGGTTATACTGATTTAAGAATATATATGGGTGGTAATTATGTTGGGACTCATACAATTCCTTGAGAGCAATAGTGCTAAAAACTAACTTGTATGAATTATTTAATACTAATGCAGACCTGTAAGGTGTTATTATTTTAACATATTTTTAGAGTTTTGCAAACATGTTCATTATGACTTTTCTTATATAACTGGAAACTGTATATAATAAAATTCCACGTTACTAGTTTCTTATCCACACGTGCCTGATGAATTATGCTAATTGACTCGTTACTTCTACCTTGGTGTGTTTACAAACTAGTCATATTTTTCTGAAATTAAATATTTATTTGTTTACTGTTATGTGGGAACTCTTAGGGTTTTTCCCCTCCTTTAACAGCATAGTGTCCTCTCAAGGTAAGCACTATACGGTTAGCATAAACCATTATTCCCAATGTGTACATGATCCCTAGCTTGTATTATGTTCTAAATGAACAATAATTCTTTCAGACATCAAGACTTAATATTCACTTACTTCTTTGGGGACTCTTGAATTTTAAAAAGTCCATTCTCATCCTAAGGTAACAACAACACAGCCTATTGCTGTCTATATCCAACAGTATTTTACAGGTCTACTAATTACGTGTTAGTTCATCACAAGTAACTAACACCGTAGGGTTAAGCTAAACCATTTTCCCAACATGTGAATGACACCTGATAGTAAAGTGATCTACATCATCTCAAAAATACCGTCTTAAAGGAAGGCTGAACGTTTGGCCCAGTGTTTTTGCTCTTTTAAAACCTTTAGTACTTTTTGAGAAGCGTGACAATCTCACTTGCCCCAGTCCATCCTGAAACACCCTAGGCCAGAGAATCCTTCTCTCTGCTACAAAATCCAACCTCATAAAGAGTTTTTACGGTGCTTTATTTCTACAGTTTAAATAATGTAAACAATGGGTATAGTTTCATTTTCTAAACATAAAATTATAATATTGAATAGCTTTAAAAAAACTACAGTTTTCTAAATTCTGATTTTCACATACCTGATGACTACTATTGTGTCTGTTTATTGACTGAAGATTAATGCACTTTCCTAAACACCTCACTGGCAAGAACATTTTTACATTATGTATCAAGAACTTGTAAAATATCCATATACTTTTATTCAGTTTTTCTATATGTAGGCATTATTTTAAGGAAAGAAAGATTCTGACAAAGAGCAATACAAACAGATAAATAGTAGCAGGAAATTGAAAATTGCCTAAAATTCTAGCAATCACATTGTTAAATTATGTTCAATTATACCTATACTCTGGAATTATGGTCTGAAATATTTCAGCTGGAATGTAACAGACAGTCATCATGTTTTTGAAGAATATTTAATAGAATGTAAAATTATTACATTATAAAGTTAGGTGATTTCCTTTTTTTAAAAAAAAAAGTAAGATTTAAAGCAATAAACAATTCTTATTCTTGCTTTTCCTCTCCGTCTCTCTCTGTTTCTCTCGTTCTTTCTCTACACATACACATACATATACACACACACACACAGCAATGTATCAGAATATCTATAGTGGCTTCCTCAGGATGGTTGGTGATCTTTATTTCTTCATTACACTTTTGTGTCTTCCAAAGTGCTATGACCATCATCAGTTTAAAAAAAAAAGTTATTTTCATACAGTACAGATGAACTAAGAGCTTACTTAGCGTTAGTTGGGGAAGGAGTGAGAAAGGGTGAGGAAAATAAGTTGTACACGTATCCTATATAAGAAGGTGGCTTTAAGGTCTGGAGAAAGCCTGAGAGGGTTCTGACTTCAGACTGTAGGGCACGCTGTGCCTATTCACAACGTAGTTCGTTTTAAATAAATGATAAATGCGTGGCTATACCTGTTTCCAAGGCGCCTGGGTGTTAGGCCTCTCTGGTCCCAGCACTTGCCCCTCCTCGGGATCCCCTTCTCCCAAGTCCTCCCTGGACGACTTCAGGGTGGGGCTCTCCACTTCCCAGAGCTGAGCTGGGGTCGCAGCGGGTGTCCCCAGGACCCCAGAGTAGGAAGTGAGACTCGAAGTTGCTCGGACCTCGCCTCCTTCACCTCTCAACTCCAACCACCCTCCTCGACTCATCCCTCACCCTCTCAATTCTTAGAGATGCTTCGGATGCCGGAGATTTTATTGGCCGCTGGGGTAGGACACAGGCCCACTTATCACCTAACTCCGCGAACGCACCCAGCCCTTCTATTTTTAACCTCCTCTGGACCTCGCCCCTCACCCCAACTATTTCCGCAGGTAATATTTCATTAGAGTAACAGAGCAGAGCAGGAGTTAAACGCAGAGCAGGATGGGGGCTGCCCTGGGTGAGGAAGGGGTGGGGACAGGCGGAGTCCGAGTGGGCTTCGTGGCTTCCAGGGGGGTGCAAGGTATGACAGGGGACATCTCTGTGTCACCTCCCCCAGTGTGAAACTGACTAGGCCTTTTTTTCTGGAAGGGAGGGAGCGGGATGGGACAGGGTCACTCCGAGGCACGGAACGGAACGAGAGATGGTGAGGGGCACTTCCAAGACTAGGCGGCTATTCCATTACCTTCCAGGCTAGGTGGTGACCAGA